TGAGACGATTTATTTTCCTGTTGGCCATTTACAACTCTGACTTTTATCGACGTGTACAGTATAACCCAGCTTGGTGAATGCTGTTTCATGTACGTACACGCAAAGTCCTCAGAAATACTTCAGTTTGACAACAGACTCTTGGACACAGGTCGTAGTATTTAGTACCAACAGTGTTTTGACACTGGTTTGAATCATTTTAATGAGAGTGAATCTTTATTGAAGCTGTTATTTAATCAGCTGTTGTAACAGTCAACAGGAAATGTGCTTGTTTCTATGATGCCACTATTGAACAGTAGGTGCAAAAACATAATGAAGTAATCGTGTCCATATTTGAAAACTAAGGGCTTCCGTCGGGAAAAAAATTATTAAAACTGTCAAACGGTTGTGACTAATTGAAAACTAACAGTATTTTTTGTGTGAAAATTATTCAAACCCTAAAACATCTAAAGCAACAAAGAAATAGGATTAAAACCGACCAAATTTCACCACATAATTCAAACCAGCTTTCTTGACTTCCTGTTGTGTTTAATAGTTGGCTATGAGAGGCTTGTTTTATTTCCGCAGTAATGAAAAAAAAAAGAAGACTTTTCTCAACTTATTGAGGTTTGTGTTTGTTCAGAGCCAGAATAAAAGCCTTTACAGAGGTAGAAAAACAATAATCTGTGAGCTTCTCCTGCGCTGACGCTTCTGATGTTTTCTGCAAGGCTTGTCACCGTCATGGCGTTGTGTCCATGTCACTCTGTGTTTGTCGTTGTCTGCACTGCCGAGTGCTGGGGGCCTAATAATTCACTTAGCTGTCCGTCTTGCCAGAGTGACTGAAGTACGGGCGTGTACGACAAGAGCGCGACATATCACCGGGAGTCAAGTCTTGGCAAACGGAGCAGGTTTTGTTGTGCAACGCCGGGTGACACGGACAAAGGTGTGACTCATAGAACAGTGAGTGAGCTGCGGTGATGAAAACGGACTTTTCAGTGAAAAGATGGAACTAATATTGACAACTTGACATTGATTTTACAGACAAAGGGGTTTAATTGGGTTAAAGAATAAAAACAAGAAAGAAAAAAGAAAAAGAAGTCCTGTCAGTTATTACAATCAAGATCATTATAGTCTGAGTTTATTGCATCATTAAATATTTCTCCTCCTGGTGCACACATGAGAAATGAGTGTAGGTTAATGTAGCTTACAGCAAACTTGAGGGAACAATCCAGATGAAAGTGTAGATTGTTGTGTGGGTGCTCTGCACTGTGTTGTAGGAACCTTACGGTGCAATTACTTGTCCTTGCCTCCCCTGACAAAGCGGCGTGGGTGGAAAAGCTTCTGTTAATCATGAGCTCTATTTTACCACTTTCAGGTAGAGACCCTTTTCTCTGTGTGAGGGAGCGCATTAGCACACTTGCTGAAAGATCCTCAGCCTGCATTAACATAATTGTGGCCAAAATGTTGAGCAAAAACTGAGAAATTCATTATTCCCTCCACCCCCACTCCTCCACTCGCCCCCCACCCCCCTGTTTGAAGCATGTCAGTTTTTGCAGCTCTGCCTGACGACCCAGCCGTCCTCCTCCGTCCAATACCAACAAGGGATAAAGAGAAAGTTAATTAAATGGAACAAAAGGCCATGCACATTTTCCTCCGTCGCCTCTCGTCCTGGCAGTGTGAGCCCTGAGCGGCAGCCCCCGGCCGGCCCCCGGCGCAGGTTCATTTGTGTGTAATGTACATTACAGTAAGAGAGGGGAAGTGAGCACGAGGGAAACAAAGAGAGACAGAGTGCATCACTGAGGGAGAAGTGCAGCATGTGTGTGTATCTGATCTCCAGTCTGTGTCTGTGTGTGTGAGTGTGAGTGTCTGTGTGTTCCATTAAACGCAAGCAGTGTTAATCTATGTGAGTGGCCAAGCAGCAGGCAGAATGTGAGTCAGTGCGGGGGTGCGGACATGGAGTGAGGGTAAAGGGCCAACTAATGCTGAGTGGCAGTTGATAATGCCAGAGCGTATATCAGCATCTGCCCCCCAGCTCCATGCTAACCTCTGAGCTGCTGCTGCTGCTGCTGCCACCAAGTTTTTTTTAACACACAAAGACACACAATAACACCACTGCCGTTCAAACCCTCTGTATTCTGGTGCAACACCCCCCCCACCACCACCCATTTGCACGAAATCTAATCAAACAGAGGTTATGCGCTGCCTGAAGCCATCGCGTCAAATTACGACTTCATTTGATGTTCATATCTCGTCTGCTAACACAAAACACATATTTGCACACGAGTCAAGCCGTGACTCCCAAATGAAACAAAATGTCATTTTATTTTCACAGTGGCGGTGAATCTGCAGCCCCTGTCTCTGGCTGCAGCACTGCTGTGGTGTACAACGCTGTATGAGTTTGTCTCTGTCTAATTACTTCATTCACAAGATTGAATCTCTGACGGTGAATTAGAAAAAAAAAAAAAGAGAAAAAAGTCAAATATAAATGGTCTTTTATCCATTGTGTCTTGTGCTTGTAAAAAATCTCACATTTACATTTGTACAGCATGACATTCTGAAAATGACTACAGATTAATTACATACTGAAGTTGGCTTTATGTGACGCTGACATCTGCTGTTAATATCCCATTAATCTTGTAACATTTCAGACAGTGCTGTGGTCCACAGCAGTGACAGTGTCATCATTAACACATTACAGTGTGTGTCTATTCTTTCTCTCTCTTTCACACACACACACACCTAGCCAGAAGGTAAAAAATGTTGTAAAAAAACTGACAAGACAGTTGAGTTTAGCTTCACACGAGGTCAGAGCCGAGGCCTGTCGCTGACTAAGAGCCTGAACGTGACTTTAACTCTGTGAATGAACTCGTTTCCATGCAGCAGTAAGTACTGTACACTCCTGTGAATGACCCAACATGCATGAATGAATGTTCAGCTGTCTTTATAGATAAAAAAACAAACAATAAAATCCAATATTATTGACCTCAGAGAAGACTTTAAATTGTAATAGATACTGATAATACTGATAACATTTATACATTAGAAATGTTGTTTTGAGACTACACTCTTCACTCATCAGACTCAAATACTAAAGCTGCATCTCCATTTTTGGAACTGGACTTTGTGAACAGAACAGCAGATTCCTCAACCAGAAAAACTAAATGTTCTCTTCTAAATTGTATTACTATGTACTTTATTATAAGACAATTTAACTCTGAACCTGGACTATGAGCATCTATTTTAAGGGTCGTGGATATTGGGGGTAGAAGGCAATCCCAGCATGCACTAGGCCAAGTATAGACACAGATTCCCATCACTCGTTCCACCATCGCTGTGCTGAAGCTAAGTTTACAGAACTTTGTGTTGTCAAACGTCAGAAGGGTCGCCTCGATTGTTGTAGTGTGAAAGATACAGTGTAAAGGGTGTTTACCGACAACACGGGTGAACGCACATGACTGGGTCATGTAATCGAACCATATCTCTGCAGCCCAGAGTTATTTACTTCAGCACCAGCGTGCCTCTTATCCTGGCCTTACAGGCAGGTCCGGTGACGACCAACGCTGTCAGGCTGACTTTTGTTCACTACCACCTTTCAGCACAGCTACTATTTTCCTCTCTGTTGTTGATGAGGAAGGCTTTTGGAACAGAAGTGGTATATAACATAAAGGCCATGGTGCACAGGTAACACAAAGAAGTTGATGCACTTTCTAGAAATACAAAAAATCGGTCATTTGGTATTTCACTTTGTCAAGTTTTCACTGACAAACTGAATTATTGAACAGAGGTTTTTTTTAAGACCGAAGTGATAATATGGGCAACATTTGGGAGACTTGGTATCAAAGGAGCATCTCCATGAGGCTCCATCTGTACGAGCAGCTATGGCAATGTTTCCCAAACTTTATTTCTGGGGACCCATATTTTAAAAGTCACAAACCTTAGCGACACAAGTCAATAGACATTATTCATAAACTGCTGGGAAACATGATGTGAGACGACCCCCCCTCAAAAAAACCTCTTGCGACCTACCTAAGGGTCGCGACCCAGTCTTTGGGAAACAAGAGATCGATTTACAAACTCAGCTGAAGTCATTTGATGAAAAGCTGTATAGACATAAAACCAAGGTTTTCCAACAACTACTCTGTGTGTTTTAAACTAGTTGTGTATAGTGTAGAGATAACCAAAGGACTGTTTGAAAGATCATCGCTTCTTGACACAGTCCAGCAAAGACTGGAACTGTTTGTTTTTTTTGGCCGTATGAGCCAGTATCCGTGTGTGAGGGAACAGTACTACGCTGAGATAGTATCAGGACATAATGCAGAGGAAAAAATCAGCATCATCTAAGTCTGTGGAGCAGCACAGCTCTTCACGTTCCTGTCGCAAAATCTGTCACGACGAGTCTCCTCACTGAGGCAACATTGACAAAAGTGCCGCTGTGTGATAAGTAAAGTAATGAGTCATTAAAAATGAGGCACAAATGTCGGTAAATGACTGTGACTATTTTCCACAAACACACCTCCTGCAGCCCTGCACGCTGTGGTCCTCGCCTAAGGACACTTGTACGTCAATCTTCCATTATCCCTCAAAAATTGAATCTCATGTGAAACATAACAGGTCATCGATGTTCCAGCACATGCTGTGAATCACTCTGCTCCAGCTCCAGCTTGAGCTCCAGCTCCAGCTCCTGACGTTTTCCCTGCCCCTCGAACAAAATTACATTTAATGTCCAGTTGCTCTCACATCCTGGCAAACATTCATCACTGACCTACATTTAAACGCGTTTGTCCTTTCCCATCTGGTGTGCTGTCGATCACTCGCTCAGTGCCTCTGATTTCAGTGCATGGGCTCAGTGTTCCACTCCATGTCAACAACAATCCCCCACCCACTACTGAGTCTGACCATCATACAGCAGTAAGAACAGGTAGAGTCATTTAAAAGACAAGGGGGGGGCAATAACCCCCACACTTATTATTCCTGGAGTTGTGTTGAAATTGAAATCTTTTGATATACGACTGTAACACACATCAGTTCAGAGCGTGTTCTGCAGCCTGACACGTCACACTGATTGATGATGAAAGGCTGTGTTAAGACGAAAATGTGATGCTGACAGATGGAGAGCGGCAAGAAATTATGAGAGACAGCGCAGAGAAAATTGTGCAATCACTGGAAACTGAGCAAACAGTGATCACCAAAGCGTGGCTCTGCCCGTGTCCTGTGAGCCATGAAGCCACAGAGGATCACGGTCAAATAAAAAAAAGGGAGCCTCACAAAGGCTGGGAAACAGGTAGATCCACCTCTGGACAGCCCACCACGTCTCTGTCTGGTTCAGATTTCAGATGCAGGTCAATGATCAACCAAATGATCCTGATTGATGCCCTGGGACTGAGGTCACTCTTTACCCTTTACTGTGACCAAAACAAGCCCAGACCAGAGGACGGAAGCTTCAGGGGGAGGAAGACGCTGCAAACTAATGTGTGAGGAGGGAAATGGCCGCGTAGCAGCTCCGTCTCCACACTTTTCTCTTTTCATTGAGGAAAAGTACTATTTCATTCATGCCATTTCCGTTCATTCATCAGCTGGGGCCAGCCTAGACTCACGGAGCCATCTCCACACCAACATTCTTATCAATGGAAGTGACGTCAGCACTGCCTGCTGCTGGGGAGGTGGGGGTGGTGGTGGGGAGAGATCACGTGGTCCCACTGAGGGTATATACAATAAAGTTGCGCTGACCGTGGTGCTGAAAACATTCACTCAATTGTACATTTGCACCACTGCAGCTGTCATACAAACACACCACACAACTAAAGAAAAAAAGATCCGACAGCTCTTCTTTCTTCTTCTCCATGTTGGTCACAGACTGAAGCGGGAGAAGGAAAAGAGAGAGAACGAGGGGGAGAGAGAGAGAGAGGAGGGAAGAAGAGAAAGACATTCTCTCAGGTGACCCCACTATTTATGAAATAATCTTGGCTTTTACCCGCGTTGAGAGCTACACCTCTTCCCCACCCACCCCCAGAGTGGGACTCCAGGTAAGTCAAACCAAAGCTTTTTTATCTTTTTTTTATTACGCAGCCTTTAAAAGGTGTCAAACTTTGGCACCAAGATAGTTTTAAAATATTTTCTATATTTGTTTTAATGTAGATCAAATCACCTAAAAGCAGCGAGGGTTTGTTTTCAAATTGTGGAGAATCATTTCTATCCGAACTTTATAAGTAAATCTGTTCTGTTTGCTGCAACTGGTCGACTGTTGTTGTTTGACCAATGGGAGGGCAGATCTGAAGTAGGGCTGTTTCTGAGGCACTTTAAAAAAAAAGGAGAAAACATTTTCTTTATATCAGGGATCAACATTCTCTCCAATATGTTTTAATTGATTTCGTCTTAAAAATATAATCAGAAAATATGATCAATTAATCGATCAAAACGTATGAAATAATAACCACCAATAAGTAACAATTATTTTAAATGTTTAATTTATCGTCTTATATGTATTTCACGATGACAGTTAAAATAATTCGACATTATTACATCCATCACGGTGTTTATCTATATTTTAAATGTTCAGCAGCTGCTGCGAAATTTCAATTTTTTTCCCAATTAATGTCAGCTAAAAAACGGTCCGTTTTTAAGGATTAAAAAGATTTTTAAAAAATAAAATTAATTTTCCAGTGTTAATAAAATAATTAATTTAGTGCCTGGTCGTGGGATAATGGATTTATACTTCAGTTAAGAGGATTTCTGTCGTTTTTCATCTTTGTCGAATTGTAAAAAAAAAGAGAAAAAATGTAAGCTGCGAAGCAATGGGCAAAAAAAAAAAAAAAAAAAAAAAAAGAAAAAACGTGCGCTCGCTTGCATTCCACCAGTGCCATCGCCACACCACACCAGGACAAAGATGCGTTTTCACTGTAGCTGCTCTGCACGAGTCAGTAAAGGCGAAATCCCCCTAAAAATTCTACACACAACACAATTACAATTTGGATGGAGCGCTCAGGGACCGCAGGGTTAAAACAACTGAACCGCAGCCACAGGCTTTACGCATGACTTCAATGTGCGCTGCGTCTTAAAACCAGGAGCCTGGTCACATCGCGTTGATGGCTGGAAACCCCCAAAATCACAGCTGATACAGACGCAAACCTTGGACCAATTTCTGCATTTTTGTTAAGAAAGACACGCAAAAAAATGGCAGGTGGTGCGCGCTTTTCTGGGGAAATGAGGTGAGGCTTTTTATTATTATTATTATTTAGTTATGCAGGAAAATAAAATCTTTAACGTGTATTTTTAACAGTCTAACATCAGCTTTCGTTGAATCTGGTTAAAAGGCAAAAGCTTAAGACTCCGGTGTTCATTTATTTAGACTGAAATAAAAGGCACATTTGAAAAAACATTGCGCACGACTACAATTTGGAAAATGACGGGACTGTGAGCGTAATTTCTGCATGCAAATGAGTCTCCCTTCTCAAAAACCTGCACTGGTTTGTACCATCATCAAGCCTTTATCTCCGTGTCACCAGATGAGCCGGAGCTGCTCAGAAATGGCCAAAAACAGGGAGGGAAACGGGGGGAGAAAGGGGATGACGGGGGACAAAGTAGAATTCGATCCTCAGAGTGAATGTTCTCTTTATGTGAATAAAAAAATACCAGTTTGTATAAGGGAATGAAAACGCTTTAAGTTTATTTATGAGGCTGTTCAGTCTGAGTGCACTGCCCCTGGTTGTGCTTTGTTCTCAGCTGACTGTTCATTTAACTGCTCACTGTGTTTCTGAATGGGCGCTTCAAGGTGAACAGTGTAGAGTTGTAAATGATAGAATGGTTATGAAAAGGATATTAATGCTGGCTATTTAAATGCTGTTGTAAAAGAAAAAACAAACAAACAGAAAAAACATCACCTTTGAGAGCCATCCTTTCCAAGCTCTATTGTTTGGCCTTTTCATCTATTAGATATCTAATAATAATAGACATATATATTAAATGATTATGTTGCAAAATGAATTGTGTAAATGTTGGTAATCAGAAGGTAGTTAAAACAATGTAAAAAAATTATACAGGAAATAATTTTGTTTCTCTGTTTTTGTCCCTCCTCCTGCGCCTTTTCTTCTTCTTCAGGTGCTTAACTCCCCTCCAGCCAGTTCTGCATGGTCATGACCTGTCATCACGCCTCTACCACATCCCGCCTCATCCTATTGGTCCTGCTCGGCGTCACTCCACAGCTGGCTGGCGCCGCCCCAGTGTTGGGTGAGGGAGGGGAGGGTAGGGTGGAGGGGCGCACCCGGACAGAGCATACAGAGGACAGTCTCGCCCCCTTCCTCTCACCCCAACCCCGGAGTCTCTCCAGCCCTGAAAATGCATCTCTAGACCAGGGCCGTGACCCGGGTCAAGAAAACCAATCAAAGAATGCAATGGACGCTGTGCAAGTGCTAGCCGTGCTTTTGGAGGCCTTGGACCACCCGGAGCACAGTGAGAGTCAGCAAGGCAGCAACAGAGGCTGGGGGGAGGAAGAAATACGGGGGCTGCCCACCATCGAGGGGGTGGAGGGCGGTGAGATAAGGAGATCAGGACAGACAGAGGAAGACAGGGGGGAGGAGGAGATGGGAGAAAGGCTCAGGGCTGATAAGGCTATTGAACAGCTAATTGTGGGCCATTTGACAGCTGCTCAGGGTGATGACTTTGAGGAAGAGAGGGAGGACAAAGACACAAGGGCAGAGGAGAACCAGGGGTCGTCTGTAGAGAATGAGGTACAACGCAGCAGCGTAAGTGAGGAGGAATGGAAGGAGGAGGGACAGGAAACGGAGAAGAATTTAGAAAGTTTCTTAGGCAAAAGCAGACCGAGTTTCACAGTGCAGGGAGACGATCTCTCTCTCCAGCGAAAAATAAGAGGCTACTTCCAAAATATTGACTTGGGTCTCCAAGATAATGAGATTCTGCCTCCACTAAAGGGCTACAAGGCGTATAACACTCAGCTGGCACAAGCAGCTAAGAAGCTGCACTGGCAGGGCAACACCGCCCGCAACCGCCCGATAAAGGGCGGCAACTTCATGGATGACTTTGAGGATGAAGGAGAGGCGCTGGATGAGGAGATTGAGGAGGAAGAGGAGAGCCTCTCACACATGGAAGAGGAGGCAAGGGCTCTCGCCGAAAAGCAGGAGGTGCTCCGTCAGCAGGAGGAGGCGGAGCGAGCCAGAGAAGAAGAGCAGAGGCTGGCAGACATCGCCTCAGACATGCTGCTGCAGTACATGGGGAGGAAACAGCAGTCGTACATGAAGCCGAGGGAGAAGAGCAGCATGAGCAACACCGCAGAGGACAAGCGCTCCGAGGAGGTGCTCCCCGATGAAGATGACTTAGACCAGCAGATGATTGACAGACTAATTGAGATCAGCAGCAAGTTGCACCTGCCTGCAGACGACGTGGTCGAGATTATTAGTGATGTAGAGGAGAAGAAGAAGAAAAGAAAAGAGCTGCAGCAGCAGTCGACCAACATGAAGCCCGTGGCTCCACGTTTCCGGCCTCTGGTTCCCCCTCCACTGGCAGCTCCGCCGATTTACCACTACACAGCCTCTAAAAACCCCAAAAAAGCCCCCTATAAGTACAACAAGCCCAACAAGAAGTGGCACAAGGACAAAGTCAAATCCTACAAAGAGGACTACTGGTATAAGCCACAGAAGCAGCTTGATTACTGGTACCAACCCCAGAAACAGTTTTTGGCCTTCCCTTCCTACCCCTACTACCAGAAGCCATATCGTGCGTACTACCCTGTTTATTTCCCATACCCTAAACCACAGTATGGCAAGCCTGTCCCCCCCAGAGACCATCCATTCGGTCCCCAGGAACTTGAGCTCCCGGCCCCCAGGCGCAAGCACAGGGGCGGGGGCAAGAACCGTGGACAGGGCTGGAGGCAGCAGCCACCGCCTCGTCTGCCTCTCGCCCCATACATCTCCAACTACATCCTTCCTCACCCACGGACCTACCAACCCGTGCCTCCTCCCAAACCAATAACCCCGCCCAGGAGGGGCAGGCGCCCCCAGTATTATTATCCACAGATCACACCGGCTGAAGACTATGAGGAAGATGGGCTGGTGCCTCAGGTGGACAGTGAGGAGGAACTGGAGAACTTTATTGAGAGGATCTACATGAAGCGCAGAATGTACTGAGATGCTTTTTGGACATTTGTCAGATTAGAGGGACAGACAGAGGTGGGCTAGATGTTTGATAGCTGGGAAAAAGGGAAAAGAGAATTAAAAAAAAAGAGACTCTGAGGAGGTATGTGTTTGAGCCTGACGGGAGAAGATGAACAGGTTTAGATTTCTGTTGTTTTAATCACTGAATATTTTTTGTTGATTTCCTCGGCCAGGGAGAGGATGGAGAGGTTGCCAGTTGAAGCTCCCTGTAACCATGTTCAGCCTCTTGCTCAGTTTACATTTTGAAACGGAACATACCGACGTGTATGTCTGCCTCCATTCAGGTCAATCTTTGTATTGTACAGAGAATTCTAGAGAACACACACACATTGTTACAAACACACACACACACACATACACAAATCACATTTGTGACACATTTACAAGCAGATGTGCCCATTGTAAGAGAACCATGTTTACGCCATCAATTTGTGTTTCCTGTTTTTATGCTTTGTTCAATCATTTCCTATCTGCACAAAAATGAGAAACTGAACACCGCTGACAGTATACACTACACGTGACTTATGTGAGAGCATGAACTATCTGTCAAATGTTTTACAACACCCCTCATTAATCCAGTTTTACTGACTCAGACAGACGACATGGCTACTAAATGGTACAGAAGTCAGCAGTAAATCGCTGCCACAAGAAGAAGCTTTAAAAAAAAAGCCTGTAATCAGACTAATAATGGCAAAGAATCAATAGTTTAAAAACTGGTTCTTGCCTATTGTTTTTTGCAGTAGTGGGGAGAACAAAACGATGCCTTGGACTTGTTGAAACATTACTTAAAAACCACATGTCAAATGATAACAAGAACCCAGTCTGGCTGCTCATGTGTTCATCCTGGAGCCAGATGATGACTCCAGATTGACAATGAAGGGCTTTAGATGATAAATAACCAGCACAGTGTCCAGACAGCGACTCTTCAGAGCTGCTGTTAGAACTCTACAGGACGAAGAAGCACAGACGGAATCATCAAAACAGTGTAAACTGGGGTGTATTAGAACATTTGGCCAGCGTAGTGTTCTTTCATGACTTGACAATTGGATCGACCTACAATCTGCAAAAGTGCCAAAAATACTCATGGGAAATATTTAGAATTAGACCTTACAAGGGCCGTGATTCTAAAGGAATAATATCTGTCATCATCAAAGCAACATATCGTTCCAATGTAGAAACCCTGTGGACTCCAAAAGCACAAATCTAAAGAAAAAAAAAACACTTCCATGATGGTGGACTATGGGTTTCAGTCATTTTGGGACCCATAAATATATACTGTATATAAAATCATGTCATGTGTTTGCAGCCTTCTATTCCACCAAGAGGCTACCACAAGATTCTGTTCATTTTCAGGAGATACTCATTGAGAAGTTTCAGACCGGGAAGTCAGGGATTGTGCTTAAACCGTTAAAAATGCACGTCTTTCTACTTGCATCTTAAAAATGAACAAAAAAAAAGAACAAAAAAAAGAGGAAAAAAAAATAAAACAGTATGGAGAAATCAAGACGGCTGTTTTTCTCTGAATAAACTGTGAACATAGAAAAAAAAAATCAAAACGGAAGAGGGCCACTGTGTCGGCAGTGGCGCCATCTGTCTTGTAAAAGGAGAGTGTTGTTGTTGATGTCACCTTTAGCATTGTAAGATGTACAGTGTGAAATAAATATGCCTGTGCAATGTGTAAATAACAGCATGACGATTAATAGTTTTGCTATATGATAAAAAAATAAAAGCAATTATTTTATTAAGTACAGCTTTTTAATGGCTTTTTGCAGAATGTAATGTTGTGCAGCAGCAAAATAAAGCAGCGGTGTCTTGTCACTGGGTGAGACAACAAAGAGAGAGACAACTGGTCACAGCTTAGCAGAAGAATGACTCATATGGTCCATTAATATGAATGAACGATTGTGGGAGAAAAAAACAAACAAAAAAAACTCGAGTCAGTTAATTATTACCCCCGAAAAATCAAAATGAACATAAGGGAAAAAAAAGAAACACTGAGATAAAAAAGAATGGCTGAAGAAAGGAAAATATTCAGAAAAAGGGAGGGAAACAGTAACTGCAGTGATTGATGAGTCACATGATTGTTGGATGAGTCATCCATCTGTACACTTTACTGCAGGACCACACACTCAAACACACACATATGCACACACACACACAAACACAGTCTCTCTGAGCTGTATAGTAATTTAGAAGCTGGCATTCAAGACAAAGATGGAACCAGGTTTGGCTCCATGGTTTGAGCCAACTGGACGAAGCCAAGGTTTCTGGTCGACACATCTTGGCCATTTTTTATTTGTGTTTCCACAATTATTATGCTCTACCTACGATTCATTCAAGTGCCTCTGGCTGCTTGGTATCAAAACAAACCGTTTGGACGCTGTGAGTGGCTCTAACGCTGACGGCTATTTAACAGGTTTTCAATATGGTCCTAATTGTGTGTTATCTCGCCAGTCCGCACTGATTAGAACGGTACCTTACGTGGCTCTTATCTTGGCCGGCTGAGAGATACTTGTACAGGATGTTAGGAATGCAGGCGTTTAATTACAGCTCGGACCGTCTGTCCATGTCCCAGCTGGATATTCAGCCACAGACTGTAACAATGAGTCTATTAATTTGATGCGGCCACAACTGTGACACCGGGCCAGCTTCTCTGTGATAAAGAAAGAAGATGCCTGCAGGAGTTTTCAGAGGAGCCAAGTAAGTCAACTGTACCATCTGTAACAACAAAGTCAGGGTCCAGAATTTTGAACATTCTTGTCCAGAATGCAGCTCAAAACACAGAGGATCTGTGAACAGCAACTAATGCAGCTCAAAACACAGAGGATCTGTCAAGTATTTAAAAGAAAAATGTGTAAAAATGATCCTGATTAAATCATTTTAAAAAGCGTGGCCATTAAATAAACGTGTACTGATCCTCATGTAAAACTTAAATTTTAAATCTTCCCTACCGACAGATTATCCTTCTATTCCAGTGTTTACCAACTGTTTTTTCATATTTTTCATTAGGAAAACCCCACGGCACACCACCAAACAAAAATCTGACAAAAACTATATGTAATAGTATACTAACCTTCTAGTTTAAATATACTCACAATTCACTACAATCTTGGCCTGTTTAGTTGAAGACAACGCTTATATACTCACAGGAATTGAAGAAAGACACACAGATGTTCTTCAACAGCTCTGATTCTCTTTTTTTAAGTTTTCATGGCCATTTGCTGCCACCTAGTGAGAGGGTATTTAATGGTAAGATATAAATAATGTTTTTTCAGACCAATTAAGTGAAATTGAATTGATCTCTCACGGTCTCACACTAGTGTGCCACAGCACAGCGGTTGGGAATCACTGTTCTATATAGATTTAACAGCTTCCCAGCCTGAGACTGTGTTCTTGGATGGTGCATGTAGTGATGCTCACACATTTGACTTGACAGCTTGTTGACAGCTTGTGTGATTCCATTCACATCTTAGTGACTTACATCATTGAGATTTAAAAGATTCCCTGACAAAAGTACTGGAACCGAGCGCCAAACCTCAGAACACTTTATAATCATTTATATTAAGCATAAAATTGGTTCTGCAATTACAGTGCAATTTAAATTTCTTCTGAAGCATATACATCCAGCTCATAAAGTCATCCGTATTGTACAGCGGCACAAAATAATCTGACAACACAGCAACGGCATTCACAAAGTAGAGACATAATGATGCAGCAAACACTTTATCTCCGTTAATAATAAATCAATCAGACTCCCCAAAAGTGAGGCATGACGAATCAGGTTTAATATTTTGAATGTTTATCTTGAGCAGTTGAACTTTTGTCCAACATTCCTTTTCAAATACATTAAAACTTATTTACATGAAAGTAATGTAGAAGAACTTTCTTTACAGGCCGGGATTTTACAGTGTGCTGTTGCTCTCACCTTTGCCTAAAGTGCAGTGTTAAATTGTGCATCACTAGCCAGTGCCATACCAAAATATTTTGAAAATGGGAAATGAAAAAATCCACACAGATATTGTTGCCTCAAATTATGTCCAATTAAAACCTTCTGGCCCACCGCACACCACCAAACAAAAATCTCACAAAATTTATGTAACAAAATATAATAATATATATTTATATTTACTAAAATGTACTTCTGTTTAGTTATAGACAATGCTAATATACTGGCAGGAATTGATGAAAGACATTCACAATGATTGGTTTTTTTTTTAGTTTTCATAGCCATCTGCTGCCACCTAGCGAAGAGTATTTAATTGTTCTGCTTGTCATGCATTGATGACCAAAAAAATAAAATTATTTGTAATAAATACATGATAATTTTAGGACCTATTAATTGAAATTAATAATTGTGGTTGGAAATCATTGCTGTAGAGATTTTTTTTCCTTAAGGAAAATCTGCATATTATACCTTTAAGTTTGAGTGTTTGTGAGTGCATATGTGCGCCACATGATACAACACAAAATTGTCATTGCAAACACTCAAGCAAAATGGATCACATTAGGTTGCATGGCAACAAGCGGTTTTCTGTTTATGTATTTCAATAGTAGTTGATGGGTTTCTTTTCCCTTTTTCTTTAATGTTTTTCTGTGTTTTTATTTCCTGTGCTGAGTTTTGTGAAAAGATTAAGAAAAAAAAGCCACTTCCTGATTTAAAGCAGCAACAAGCCTCTGCCGAGCCTGTTCAGTTTCACACCGCCTGACAATAATTGAATGTAATTGAATAATTTCATATTAAGGAGCAACTATACGAGCCAATGAACTGTGGAGTTCTCATTATTAGAAAACAACAACAAATAAACAAAGACTGCTAATGTGTACGCTAACTAGCACAATTGACTGGTGTTATATTTATTACCGTAATTGGGAGTACTATTTGTTTTTATGAGCTAATTCACGTGGATGAATGTTTTAAACTAGCGAAGATTAAAAACTGTGCACACTTTGATTTAGCCTGTTAATGTTTTTAAGAAGGGGCAGCTAAAAGGGTCAGCTTTTAATTGAATTAAAGGAGTTTCTGGAAACACACAACAAAAACCTGAAAACAACACCAAACAAAGACCACTGAGCAGGAAAGAAAATAAAGGGTGAGTCTAAATACAGCAAAGGGGGGAGAGAGTAGATATTCTTCAAGAGGAAGAGTAGCTCATCAACAATAGTGGCTAGTGGTGCTACTACTATCGTAGCAGTACTGAGTTAACCCTAGCTAACAAACAGCAGACAATCTCCATTTTGAAAAACCTGGTTACTAGCCATTTGACTAGCGTAGCCAAACGTCATAAGTTAAATTGTTAGCATGTTGTTCCGCTCATTCACTGGCATTTAATCAGTATCATTAATTGACATCAGTAATGCACCGAAAGAATAATCCATTTACTTGATTTTTGTTTTTTATTTTAAACTGTTAATATGTTTAATGTGTATAAAAAATACAACATGTCATTAAGATGTTTTTAACGAGGTGGTTTTTCATTCCAATATATACAGTAATACAGAATAAGGTACGGTTGTAAATGGACCCCTGTAATAGTGGCTAACCCTACCCCCCATTTTCAACTCCTTACATCCCTGCCCTCAATCCTCCACACAGTGTCCGACAGTGGCTTGTTTATTCTCCAGGCTTTGTTCTTACCTTATCTTTAGGAACCAAAACAAAAGTACAGCGCAATTATTTTCTCGCAAAATTTTCTGTGGAGAGTAGCTACTAACCTGACTGTGGCCTTTCAGCCTTATGTGTTTTGTTCTGTGGTAGACTACTGTTGTTGAACATAATCTTTGCCATATAATACGCCTCATCAGCCAGGCTTTCATCAGTCATTAGGACTACAGAGGGAGAGCAGCACAGGCCTCTGCCTAGAAAACTGCATCCTTTGTTTATGATCTCTGCCACCCTGATTGTTTTTTTTTTCTTTTCCTTTTTCTTCTTTTTTTTGGCTGCGTCCTTTAATCTCCTTCTCATTTCTGTTCATTCCGATCTAGCTCTGTGCCCATCTTCTCCCTTTTTCTGGTAGTTATCCACAACCCCTATTTCTCCCTAATGTGCCCTAACACACGATCTTCACCCTCCTTTCTTCTTTATCTTCTCCACATTTCTTGTTTTGTATGCAAGCCCCAAGGGAGGGAAATGGGTGAAAAGCGCTCTCTCTGCGCCACTGTCACAAAAGACTGGTGACTCATCGCCACTTATGTTCCAGTCACCCACCTCCTCCTGAAAAAAAAAAAAAAAAACATGCAGGAAAAATTACTCCCTACCTGTTTTGCACTTAGGAGGACATATTCAGACACACACGCACACACACCTTTTAGACACACACACAGATTCCACAGCTCTTCAAATGAAGCCTAAATTAAAATCCAAGTCACATCACATCATTGATAATTACGGTGGAAAAAAAGGCACTCGGTGATGTGCAATGCCTATCATTTCTGGTGAGAGTACTCCTAAGTTTGTTAAGAATTTCTCATGCTAATGGGGGGAGCTGGTGCAGAGGAGTGGGCGGCTACCGAAGAGCTGTTCAAGCACAGAGATTCCTCGGAGGAGAGGAGACAATGTTGGCAAATACAAACAGATGAAGAGAATAAGACAGGAAATAACCCCTTGTTGAGTGGTATAGCTTTGGTCTTAGTCTTGTACCTGCAAAACATTAACTCGAAATAAATGCTCTTCCTCCATCTGCTGGAAAAAAAAGATATTACACTGCGGTCACGGTGGTGATGGATCAACAAGATGATATATGTGATATGACAACAACGTCCACTATGATGATAAAGGCGTGGCCCGATCAAACTCTTTGTCGTTTTTTGTTCATGGCCGCTGATGTCAATAATGTTCTCAGTCTTTCTTAAAAGTCTGAAGTTTGCATTTCGTTTTGGCGCCCTTCTGTGGAGTGATAACGCAAATACAGGTAATAAAGAAGCAAGGGCCTTTAGGGCAAACATACGAGACGTTTTATGATTTTTAAAAATAAGCCTTTTCCTTGCCATTATTATGTTTAAAGAGTATTCAATACTGAATACAAAAGTGACTTTTTTTTTACTGCAAAAGATCCCTATTGACACACGCACATTTTTCAAAAACATCTTTTGTTTACTCAAAGATGTTAACCTGACATACTGCCACCTGAGTTCCTCATTCTCTTCCTTCTTTCCTGTTCACACATGCCTAACAAGGACAACAGAGTGCTACCTCCAGCGTGTGTGTTTACACTGTATTACTCTTTTGCAGAATTAGAAAGAGGCAGGCCATGGTGTGGAAGATAAGAATTGTAGAAGGAGGCACAACAACAAGACCAAGTAAACATGATGTCCTTGTTTGTCTGCTGCTCCCAGCTCCTTTAATTCACAGTGTCAGTGAGTCACGTGTCCTCAGTTTGTCACATCTGTGTTGCAGCGATTAAAGAAAATAAACTGTCTGGACAGGTGGTGTGCTATTCACAACAAAAAACTTTTTTCCTTTTTTAAAGTCCTTCGCCATTGAAAAGCTTTGATGTATTTCAATGGTAAAGGACGTCAGACATCCCAAAAAAAACACTCCATAATGTGGGTCAAAAATACTTTTCCCGTCTTCTGTACACACTAACTCGATTTCCTTTTGAATGTCATATTTGGCTTTAC